TTTAAGTGGTTAACAATGAAAATGACATATGGAGGCGTATACAATATTGTCATTTGATTTATAAATTCTTGCAACAAAAACAACAACAATAAAATTGAATTGAATTAAAATCATAGTTTCAGTGTTTTGTTTTCCTTGGTCTACTTGTTGCAAAAACCTTTTGTCTAACGGCGAATATAAAAATAAACCTTTTACGAGTATGAAGTCGATCAAAGAACTAAGACTTCGCAAAACAATAAAATAAAAATATTAATTTGTTGTATTTGTCAACTTTGATTTGTGAAGTTGAAAAAGTTTGTTGATCCCAAGCTGGAATTGTTTTCCACTATCATCATAAGTAGTGGTGGCGGTTGAAACATATGTAGTAGAAAACAATTGATGGTTCATTTAAGGTTTCCTTCTTCTTCTTCTTCTTCTTAAGGGAAAGAGGGGTGAATCCCATTAACATTGTAATCCCATTTTTCATGTCAAATTTTATGCCAATTCACCAAATCACAATTTTACTATTGAAGTTGGAAGAAAAAGGGATACAATTTATTGAATATTTGTCTTAACGATAGTTTACAAAACAAAATTTTTATGAGGTGATAGAGGTCAGACGACATTACTATTTCCCCTCAATAAAAAATGTCACATATTGTTTTTATTGTTTGCGGGGAAATAGTAAAAAATATGTCCATACATTGATTTTTAACAACTTTAATAAAATTATATTATTTACTACTCAGTCAATCACTGCGGACTTTCTAAGAAGTTTTTTGGTACAATGAAAAAGTTCTAATTTCTGATTGAAAAAAAGTAAAAAGCTCGTTAAGTTTGACTGGGTCGAACTTTTAATGGACACTATGTGGTAATATGTTGTTCATTCTTTATATCGGGGCTACATGCAAACTTGGGCCAATAGGAGATTTTCTATTAAATAAAGAAATGAAATTATCTGTTTAATAAGGACCCTAATAATCAATTCTGTTGAAAAAAGTACCCAAAAGCTTTGAAGTACCGAAAATACCATATTGCTCGTAATTAATATATGTATGTATGTATATTGATAATTTTTGATTTGATTTTCTACCCAGTGAGAACGAAAAATACAAAATTACAGCTGATATCGTTGAGAAACGTGTCCACCGCCTTGGAAATACCGAAATTTGCGATGTAGCATATAATGCTAATGGGCTACACTAAAAAGTGGATCAATATTGATAATTTTTTATCCAGCGACAACTAAACTTAAACTTACTTTAGCTACCCTAAAAAGTAGACCAATATTGCTAAATGTTAGTAGGAGAACCCTTAATAATAACTTATAGCCAATTTTGTTGAAAAACGTACCTAAAAGCTTAAAAATATCTCAAATTGGGGCTACAGTTATCAGTAATGTTAAAATATAGCATTGTCTGTTGGAAAAATACCCTCGGACGTGCCTTTTAAATTGGAACGTCATGAAAACATTGAGCTGTTGAACATTTTTAAACAACATCTAGAAATCCCTCTTTGAACCGGGAATGCAAACGAAACGGACCAATTTGTTATTATATTGATTCTGTGGTATTAGAGGTCTCATCTTCCGATATGAACTAAATTTAGTACAAAAGAGCAGACTGATATGCATCGAATTTGATTTATGTTTAGAAGAAATATTGCAATGTGCAATGTTTGGATGAAATCGGTGACTCCCCTCGAGTAAAAAAGTATTTATGTTCGGCCTGACCGAACTTTTATACCCTCCGGCATTAGATGGACATTCATAAAAACCTTAAAATCGATCGAAACATTAATATTGAGCCATGGTGCATTTTTGATAGGAAGATTAGGTACACAAAATTTGGAATAATTGAGGGTACCGTTATATGTAGTATACCCTGATATACAAGTCAATGTAGATAGTTTTTGGTAGGTGGATTTTCCAACTAATGAGTGTCTAAAATACTAATTTTGAGCCAATTCAATTGAGAAACTTCTTTAAACTTCTCAACATATCGACATTTATTAAATACACTAATGTTGGGAGATCTCTTAAAAGTCGACCAATAGGCAAATCGTTTGAGCCAATTCGGGGGCTATATAAAATCGTTAAACCTTATTTTCAATACCAAAAATCCTGGAATTTTAAAGCTGTATCTTAAAGTCAGATGGACGTGTTTAAATCGAAATCAATTTGAAATATGGCAGCCAAAGTCACATATCGACTTAAAAACTCCGGTTCATTACACATATACATCTGAAACAATATTTCGAATCATATTCACGTTGTTGATTTTAGTCAAATGTGAGCTCGTACAAGCTTATCACTTTGCAAAGAACTTTCTCAAAACCAAATGTTTTTTAGACGTCCTTTCAAAATTCTTAATATATTCTTCCGTAAAAAGGTCTTTTCGTAGGCCATTGTCTTCAAAGTCTTCGGTTGAACCTTTCCCACGTCTGAATTTAGCCTACTAATAATTGAATATTTGTTTTCCTGAAATATTCATCAAGTAAATTCCATAAATATTTCATAAATATTCGAATCGGAATGACAAATTTTATATATGGTGGAGAATCTAAAAAGTCACTCACAAATATTTCCTTATTATCTTCTTTTATAAATACCTTACGACTTTCTGCTCCAGACGAGTTTTCGTGGTTGGTCAATTAAAATAATTACTTCCACATTTTCTTTATTTACTACTCAATTTTGTCTACGCAATACTTGGCTTCTCTTCTTTTAATTCGACTTCTAATGATTCGACATTATTTTGATTATGTGCTCTTACACACTTTTGCATCGTTGCCATATCCATCCACAACAACAACAGCAATTTATATATATGGACAAATATTTGTATTCTGATTTTGCGGTTATTTGAATAAAATGAGAGTGGAAATTGCAAAATTTGGGATTTGAGAATCATAATTATGTCAAAAAGTTATTTCACTGACAGTGATAAAGTATTGCAGTTTGAGAGACATGGGAAATATGTGGAAATATTTTCGAAATTCTGAAAGCGTGGTCAGATTCAATTTATGAAATAAATAAAGAATAAGCAAGCCACATGTCTAAATGGTTACCACAAAATATGTTGATAAATTCGGTTGAAATCGGTTTCAGATCTTGATTAAAGTTGCCTTTATTTCCATTTTTATTCTTGACTTATTTCAATCGCATATGGGCAGTTGAAGGCCTTTTCTATGAGGAACATTTTTTATATTTACTGAGAATCATTTTTACCCTTGATATTATAAAAATCAATTTTTATGAATTGTATTATTTCCATGGAAAAATAAATTTTCTTTGCATTCAAAGAATTTTCAATCGGAAACATAAACACACCGACGACAATTGCTGTTTATTTTTATCACACCAGCCTGTGACGGAACTTGAAGAAGTTTCCTTCCATTCAGTTTAATTCCGTTCAACAAAGAAAAGAAACAGTTTAGTGCTTTAGAATATCCAGAGGGCCATTGAAAAATCTTCCGCCATACAAGTGTATCCCAACAAAAGAAAAAACAAATACAAAAAACATGTTTGATGAAATGCTTCCATAAATTCCCAAAAGGAATTTGTAAATGTCAGGCTTACTTCTTGATTGGCAAAAGTTTGTATCACAGAAATTATTATTAAATTTAAGGATATAATCTTCCTTTATCCTTATGCAGATTAGCTTCCTACAAATGTATTCATTTTTTTGGGCAGATCAGAGAGTTATAATAAATATTGAAGCAAATTGGCACTTGAACTCAATGTTAAGTAGCCATTTTAACAATGGAAGCAAATCCTTAAATCTATACACTAGGAAGGACGAACGGACGGACGGAAGGAAGGGCAAGGTGTTGTTGGTGCTTGTTTGTTATGATTTGTGTATTTCCAGTAAAAAAATAGTAAATTTGCTTACAAATCAGAAAATTATGTTAATATATTTGTGGCCAAGATACTGCAAACATCCTTAACAAATTTTTTGGCCATTGGGATTTATGAAGAGGTGGGTGTGTGTGTGTGTATGTAACCATGTATCCAAAACAAAATCTAAAAAAATGAATAATAATTTTCACAATAGCCATAACAAATTTCCTTTAACATTTTCTCTGTCTCATTCAATTCTAATCAAATGTTCTGATTTATTTTTAATAGCAATTTTCTGGTATCCCCATCCGCAAATGAGATTCTGTCCACAACTGTATGCTGATGACACCAAGCGAACAACATAATTGAGAAATGGTCTAAACAATTAATCACTGCAAGAAATCTCAAGCTTAGCCAAGGCATCTGAACCGAGGAAAGACGAAAGGCAGCGGAAGCAGGAAATGGTTTCGTCACATCGATTACGAAGAAAACCCCAGAAAGTCGAGGATAATTTGATACGCCGTAATTACTATGATCCGTTATATACGGCCTCGGCTACAGCCACATCCACTGCAAAATCGGCAACGTTGTCGAGTGGCCCACCCATGAAAACGATGGACATCAGCAATTCGAGCTCAGCCATTTCGCAAATTAAAAACATGGATTATACGGAGGCTTTACTTGATTTCAATTTAAGCAAGGCAGCTAATGAATCCGGCAGTGGTGTAATGGCAAATTTGAATCATCAACTGTTCGAGTTGAATAACCTCTCACATAGCGTGGTAGGCGAAGGCAGTAGCGGCGACCCCGGCAAGACCTATGACTTTGATGTCAACTCAACTGTCGTTCAAGTACTGGCAGATGCTAATGATAGCTCGTCGTTAAGTCCCGCAACATCGATACTGACATCATCGTTGGCATCGTCCTCCATGGTATCGGCGGATTTTATTGCGTTGCCAACATTTAGTACAGCTACGGTTGCAACAGCTGCAGCAGCTGCTGGTGCCGATTCCAACAGCGGACTAGTAATGGATACATTACTGGGTTCCGTTATGACCACTGCCACCGCCACCGTTACATCGGTCGCCTCCAATTATCCCCTGGAGAATCTCTATGAAACCACCACCGCCATAGCCCGAATTTCATCGACAATGAAGAGTGCGAACAATGAGTCGTCGGCCTATTGGGAATTGGAAGCGTCTGATTTCGATTTCCTGTACCGTCATTCACTGACCATGACCATTGTCTATTGCATCGCCTATGTGATTGTGTTCCTTGTGGGTCTGGTGGGCAATAGCTTTGTCATAGCCGTTGTCCTACGCATGAGGAATATGCGCACGGTGACGAATTATTTTATTGTTAATCTGGCGATAGCCGATATTCTGGTCATAGTCTTTTGTTTGCCGGCCACATTGATGAGCAACATATTTGTACGTAAGTATCTGTCTATCTATCGAAATTGGATTAATTTATCAATATTTTGTATTGTTATTAATTTTGTTTTATGTCATTAATAATGATGAAAATGTTTTGTTGTTGTTGTTAGTTTTGTTGTACGGTGGGAAATTGATTTATATCAGATGTCACAAAACGGAAATGGACGTTTATTAATGTTCGTCATTAGCAAGTAAAAAAGTTATCACAAGTTTTTCCATCTGAGGATATATTTCATACGACTTGAAATAAGCTCGACCGAAATTAGGTTTTTAATCCCAACACGTTTGAACCAATTACGTTTCACAGAGAGTTTTGGTACAAATTTCAAAGGTTTTGTATCAAAAGTTATATGGCTACGGAGGATGTATTTTATACGGCCGAAAATAAACCGGATGTAAATTCGGTTTTAAATCCGAATATTTTTAAACCACTTACGTTTTACAAAGGTATCTCTTTTAGTACAAAGGGTTTTGTATCAAATGTTGTATACGACAAAAATACCCCGATCGACATTTCGGATTTTACAGGAAGTATATCTTTTAGTATAAATTTAGTACCTCGTCCCATAATCTTGATATTAATAAGGATATATATTATAAAATAAAGAGGTACAAGGGCTTTGCCTTTTAAATTTATCATTTTTCAAAAAGTAGGGTTAATCGATGTGTGACCAAGCGGCTCATATGTACTTCTCAAACCAACATAATATATATTGTAACTTTTCATCGAATTACATTTCATTTATTCTTATAAGAAATTATCGCATAAAGAAAGTTGCAAATTATGATTGCAGTCTGCAACATTTGTGGCTCCTTGGCTGACATTGACATCATCATTTTATTTCACTTCACTTCGCTTCATTCTATTCTTATTATCATCTTAGGGCAAGTGTGAACATTTCGAGTCACAAAAAATGCTTTGGCTTTAAATAAATTTCACTCTTTCTGCCAGCAAAGGCTGATTACCCTGTCATTTCATTCATTGTTTGTTATTCGTTTTCTTTTTTTGCTTTTTGGTGTGCAATGACAAAATAAATTTCAAGTTGAATTGAACAAGAACAAAACAGAAAAAAATGAGAAGAATAAGAAGAAACTGTAGAAGAGTCACAAGATAAGCTTTTTGTTGCTTTTTGTATCCGCAGGATGCAGACAAGTGTCGTTTCGGTTGTTTGGCAAAGAAAACGCAACGACAACAACAACATCAATGATTTTCATTCCTAAGAAATTCAACTGAGGAACAATACAAACAAAAGCGACACTTTTGACGGTGTGGCACAAAGACGAGATATGTGGCAAGGAGCACTTACATTTAATGAGTAATCAGCTTAAAATATTTGTGTGTGGGTTGGTGTGTGTGTGTGTAGGTTGCTAAGAAGCGATGAAGCTTCCTTAGGTGCATCCTTTGCTGGGAGGTGTAAGGAGGCATTCACTTAATTTGTTTCAAACGTTCAGTTGATTTGCATTGTTAAGCAAAGAACAAATTGCATTTTTGAGAATCATTTCGTAAATGAGTGGGACAAAACTTTAAATAAACATTTTCGTGTTATTTAAATAATAAAGTTTTATTTTTTATTAAAATTAACCTACAGAATTAGGTGGGTAGTTTTGAATTTAATGCGTTTATCGCATATAAATAAACGGATTTCTCCTACCAATATCCTATTATAATACGCGGTGGAAGTAGTTTGCTTGGATTTTTTTATTTTCCACCAATTTTTACCATCTCACATTTCCCCTGACATAATCCTGAGTACTTTTAAAAGTTATTTATGATTAATTTGTGTGGGTATGGGCTGTCAGCAATCACATCATGCTTGGATTGAGTTCTCTCAGTGCACTTAACAAATTGCTAGTAGGATGTCAATATCAAAGCAGCAAAACCGTAGCATAGTGCATTTTCATGAAATATATGAGAAACACATGCCGAGAGCAGGAACCAATATGAAAATAACCGTTGGTATATATTAGAGTTCCAAGCAGCAGTAATATTTGTAGAAAACAACTCCATTAAATTGAAATGTGTCGGAAGAAGTTCGAACACAATTTAAGTAATTTGTGGAGAAATCATCAGCACGAGGTCTAAAATATATTCCACACATTTACATCAGTAATATTTGCCAAAAACACCATTTACCTAAAATGCAAGGATTTCGAGAAATTTTAATCCAAATATTTGCCAATGGCTTGGAAACCGGAAATATTGTCACGTCTTTTTAGGTTACCTCCCGACGTTAACTTTCAAAATGCCGATACACGTGTCTTATATTTTTAGCCCCTCTATCATAATCAAAGTGTAGAAGAACTTTACCACCATTAATATGGCACTAAAGTGATTCTAACGTTTTTATACCCTTCACAACACTGTGGTACAGGGTATTATGTCTTTGTGCATATGTTTGTAACAGGCAAAAGGAATCGAGATAGACCCATGGTTCCTTTTATAGAATATGCATAGAGTCACTTTGTGAGTCGATTTATGCATGTCCATCCGTCCATCTGTTGATGTAAAATTGTAAACAAAGTAGAGATAGCATTTACAATCCGATTTGGATTAAATTTGGTACAGCTCATTTATTTGGCCCAAGGACGAACCCTATTGAAATTGGTTAAAATCAGTTCAGATTTAGATATAGCTCCCATATATATTTTCGTCCGATTTAATGTAAACGGTGCACCAAAGTCCCTATATATTTTTCGATTTCCACGAAATTTGGGATTGCATACTGTATTAAGGATAGAATGATGTATGAAAAGTTTCGTGATAATCAGTTCAAATTTAGATATAGCTCTTATATGTCTTTTAATACGATTTTATGTAAATTGTGCACTAAAGACCCAAAGTTTGTCGGATTGTATTGAAGTAAATATAAACCAGATACCCTACACAACTTCCACGAAAATCTAACTTTCTGCGGCGCTACATTCTGAGGTATGGTAATATTTCGCGATATTTGCACCCTCTTGACCGACTAGTGGCCAACCAACAAATATTACTAATATTCAGTAAAGCTCTTCTAACTACTTCTCCAGATTCCCTTCAACGTGGTTTGTGTTGTGATGTTCAGCTTGTGGTCTATAGATCGACTCGAAAAAACACAAAAAAAATAAGTTTTAGGTTCACTTCACCCCAATATTATAATATGATCATCAACGAAAATTATAGGCATTATCCTTGACCATACCTGGATCCGCATGGAAAATTTCAAAGCGATCAGCGCTATATTTCCGACCTTATTGTGGTAATGGGTAACTAAATAATATCTGAATACCTAAGCACCTGTAAATATTTAAGTGCAACTCCCACATCCGAGTACATACCACAATATAATTGGTATCAATTTAAAGGTCAACCACTCTTCTCGGATATAATATCAACCTCTCGGGTCTATGTCCTTCAGGAGTAAATATATACGCTGTAGAATACAAATTTTGTCATTTTCCACACAAAAGTCTGGGTCCATTTGACCCGCTAAATATTTGCCGATCTTTATCAAAACAGGCATGCTTATTATTTAACCCAATCCCCTTCTCCATGTAAAATTTCACGATGTTCGGGCCATAATTACGGCTCAGGAGCGACCAGAAAAACCGACAAAAATTTTGTATTTGGTCCATTCATACCCTGAATATTAACCGATCATTACCAAAAACAATAGGGATCTTCATTGACCAGAACCTATCCTACATGCAAAATTTCGTGAAGATTGGTCCATAACTGTGGCCTGTATCGTGTTTACAAATTATAATGGACAGACGGACAGACGGACGGACTCAGCTAGTCGAGATATGACGATCGGTATACTTAAAGGTGGGTTTAGGACCAATATTTCGCGGCGTTACAAATTCTTGGGCTGCACAAAGCTATAATACCCCGACAACATAGTTGTATAGGGTATAATAATATCTGTGGCAGATTTCGTTGAAATCGGTTCAGATTTAGATATAGCTCCCATATATATTTTCGTTGGATTTTAGGTAAATGGTGCACTGAGTGACATGAAATTTTGTACAACTTATCGAATTGAGACTAATGGTGGGTTTTACTACTTTCCTTACTAGTTTTACCTAATTTAAGCTAGATCTCTAAAACTTAGATAGGGATGTGTCGGACAATTTTTACTATAAGTGTACGAAAATTACTAACTGGTACTTAATTTATAACACTGAGTGTAGGTGGTGTATGGGGTAAGGTAAACTGATTTAATCCAAAGAAACAAGGGGTCTAAAACCAATATTTCATACTGAGTAAAACATCTCCTGAGCAATGTCAATGCGATAAAGGATTGGTCAAAACTGACCAATTTCAGCACAATAAAGGCGACTCCAAACGTGTTCAAGCTAGAAAAAATCTCTTACCTCGTCACCAACCGAATACAACCAAACAATCGAAAACCGAATACATACACAAAATTATATTAGGTTGGGGAAAAAGAAATTCATTATTTTTCGTTGGAAGGGTGACATTTCGCAGTTAATAAAATATTTTGCTGGTTTTTTGTTTGGTGCATTTAGTTGTAAGTTACAGGGTGTTAAAAATGGAAGTGACAAAGGCGAAAATGTAAGCCAAGCGGCTAAAATTGTGAATGGTGTTTATGGTTCCGATACTGAAACAGCCAATTATGTGCAATTTTGGTTTCGTACATTCCGTTCAGGAATTTTTGATGTTAAAGATGCACCTCGTACTGGTAGGCAGGTTGTCGAAAAAGGTCGACAAAATTCGACAATAAAACTGTTTTATACAAAATAATGTATTTCTTTTTCCCCATCCTAATATCTATTTTATAAGTTTAACATATCTAGTATACCCCAAAAACCTGATGCGTCATTCCTGTACCACCAACACTATAATATCTACTAATTACCAATTCATTTTAAGCTTAATTCCATGACAATCTCCGCATTTATTTTATTGTGAATATTAATTATCTATAACTGATGTTCTGCTATGTAAGACACACACAAAGAATTAATAGCGGGAAATGCTAAACAACATGACAA